TCCTGCCCGCCGGCACCTGGCGCGCAGCTGGAGCCGGAGCCCTCCTGCTTTGTAGTTTTCTTCCCTTCTTTCTCTGTCCTCTCCCTCTCCTATAATTTTTTTCACCCTTCCTGTACAGTTAGCGAAATCCTCCTCATCCCGGAGCTCCGCTCGTCACCCCGACCCTCCCCACCGCACAGCCCCCCTGACTGCCGGTCGTACAATGTGCCATATATATTTTTTTCCCTTTATCTTTTAGCATCTTTCATTTTCCCTCCTTCTTTCTACTTAGCAGCACCTTCGCACACATTTTTTATTTTCCTGTCCTTCCTTCAATACTCCCCCGGGGCTGCTGGAACATCAGAGACGTTCGCAGGCTGGACCCCGAAAGACCTTTTACACAATCACATCGGCTGGCGTAAAATAATTTTTCAGAAATGCCGAAATCCCTTTCTCCCGAGTCAGCCAAAGCCAGCATTTATTTATTTATTTTTTCTCGATTCATTTCTTTTACTGCGATCAAGGAGGGGCTTTGGATCGGGCTGGCTCCGCCGAGGGAGGCTGCCGGTTCCGTTTCGACACGATTTTTCCTTTATTTTTGTTTCTGTTACATCTTTATTTCAATTTCGCTGCGGTGATTTGTTTGCAGGCATCCGCGCGTCCTCCTCCCGAGGACAAGGGTGCGGAGAAGAGGATGATGATGAGGAGGAGGAGGAGGAGGAGCAGCCTTCCTGCCCCAGGGCAGCTGTGCCAGGGACCAGGGGCCAAGGCGCGGTGCTTATTCCAAGCGGCATTTCTCCCTCTGAGCCCAGCCAGGCTCCGAAACCAAATCAGCGTGTTTATGTCCCCCAGGGTGGGTTTTCTTTGATAGATGGCTTCCCGGGGTTTGTGCTTCCTACCTCGTCCTCTTCCTTCCCCGGTAACTTACAAGTTTAGTGCCCAAACGCACGGCTGTGTCTGTGTATTTGTACATGACACACATGACAAATTCGTAATTCATTACACGATGCATTTGTCGTGGCGATGAAATACGCCTCGTGTGTACGAGGCACATTATAGACGCGTTACATGTCATTCGAAAATTTTATATACCGTTCTACATACTGTAGAAAAAAATCGAAGTAAATGTTTGTATATCCTTGATTTAAGTATAACACTTATTACACATACTTACACGAATTGTGTTCTTCAGTGAGAACAGAGAATTAGAATTTGTAGCATTGCCACGCTTGTATACGATGCACACAATTTAAGGTATTTTTTAACCGCCTTAAGACGTGTCTGGGTGCCTACGCACACGGTGTATGCGCGCAGAGTGGCTAAAACACGCTGCCATCTGCGCGGGACTGTCCATATTTACAGAAAAGAGCCCTGAATTCCTATGTATATCGAGATTTGCACGTGTGTTTGTAGCTCCGAGCGACCCGCAGCGGCTGCAGGGAGCCCCGAAGGATGGGTGCGGACACGCTGCGGGGGCGGCCGGGGGCGCTGCGGGGGGGCCGGGCACCGGAACGCGCATCCCCCTCCTCCTCCTCCTCCTCCTCCTCCTCTTCCTCTTTCTCCTCCTGTTGTGCCCCCCCAGCCCCCCGCTCCCGTCTCCCCCCGCAGGGGAAAGGATTTGGGGGCGAGGCGATGCGCCTTAAGAAAACGTTATTGTAGGGTAGGGGGTCGGCTCTCGTAAAAAATCACGAAATCACCAGAAATCCGCAACCCTCCCTCCTCCTCCCCCGGTTTTCTCCTTGCCCAAGGATGTAAACGCGGAGCCGGTAGTTTACAGGGAATGAAGGTGCTGCGGTGGGCACTTGCCTTGGGCAACAGCTTTGTTGGTCGGGGGGGGGAGGGAAGAGAAAAAAACACCTTCTATTTCTTCCCGCCCGGGCAGGCAGGCTACCGGCTAGGTGAGTCTGGGGGGAGCAAAAAGCTGCTCCTGCTGGCACCCGACTGCTTTCTGGTCTCGGGTACTCTCGTTTCGCTTTTGCTTGCCCACCTGGGAAAAAAAAAAAAAAAAAAAAAAAAAAAAAAAAGGCGTCTCTCCACTCCAGCACTGCCTGAGGCAGAGGAGAGCCGAAATCCTCTCGCGGGTTTTGTTTTAAGCCACTGATGAAATTCAGAAAGTTGGAAGCTGCATGCAGCCAGGGACCAAGGCAGAAAATTGCATCGCTCATCTCCTTCTGCAGACGGGAAAAATGGTCCCGAGCCGGCAGCAGGGCAGTGCCCCCCACCCGCTGCAGTGCCAGCAGCACCGACCAGTCTTCTTCGTGTACAAATTTACACAACATGTACGAATATGCCACACAAGATGTAATAAATACATGAGAAACAATGCACAGCATAAAACATGTACCATATGCCATATAATACTGAAATATTCCTGCAATAATGCAGGAATATAGGAATGTGTGCGACATCACGAGACACTGTGCCTTGTAGGTAAAGCTCATATTACAAGCTATTAGTTAGGCTGTTCAGTGATCTTTACATCATTCATAGTCAATTAACCCTTGGGACTAAATTATCCCACCCTACTGCTGCCTCTGGTTTTATCTACATAATCTTTCAGCCCCAATACATCAGCTGTCTCTGGGGCTGAGGCACGAGAAAATGCTGTGTCCTGTCCCTAATTTATATATGTGTGTATGTACTCACAACGTATATTGACTATTTCTTTGTAAAGATGCATTGTGTGTGTATGTAAGTCACTATATATGCATACAGATAGGATTTCTCCGTAAAACTGTAAAATTTTGAGGTTGGGAAGGGTTTTTTATTATCGATGTGCATGATTTTGAAATAAATCCAAAAACCCAGGAAAGAAAGAAAGGAAAATCGTTCTGGAGGGGAGCTGCAGCCGAGCCCAAGGAAAGCCAGCTTGCTGGCTGCACTTCTGGGCTATGAATTTTGCCCATTCTAGGACTGGGCAAAAAGCTGGAGGCTTCATTCTGCAGTTTCTTTAGTGACCCAGTGCACAAGGAGGAGGAGAAATCTATGGGAGCTAAGCCAGAGAAGAGAAGAGCTAGCGTGTCTTTTTGTATGTTGCTAAAGTGACTGTGATCTGAAGCCAGGGATGCACATTACAGTTGTCCTTAGGAGCTCAGTTTTCTCTGCTGTAGCTGTTCCAGGCTGTAGAAAGGAAACATCTCTTAACAAACATAATGGGCTGCTGCTTTAGAGAACTGTATTTTCCCCTGGTCTCTGATACCTCTTCCTATATGGTATTGGAGAAATCACTTAAAGTTTTCAAGAGAGTGGTAGTGGTAAGGGCATATGGGTCTGCATGTGCGTGTCTGTAAGTCACAGACAAACACCCACACGGATCCCGCAGCTGTCAATAGGAAACACATGCACATCCCCAGCAAATCACTTTATGTTTTGGGGAGGATATCTATGTATAAGATACAGAAAAAAAAATATAGAGTATGGGTAGACAGCGACACAGCAACTGATCACAGCTTTAAAAAAATAATAATTTGAGAAGTCAGTAAGGGTGATATTTTTCAAAGGGTAATCTATGCAAATTGACAGAAAAAAATATTCAAGTTAATGGAGTATCAAGCAGTAAAAAAATGTGGAGTGGGGTTTATTCTCTGCATTAGTTACACGCTATAATCTTCCGATTTCAAACTCTGTAATTATTTGGTCACTAAAGAGCTCTGTTTATTGCTTGGCCATGGCTTAAAGGTTACATTACAATCTCTGATGCTGGCAGCTTGTAGTTCTCTTCTGATCACTGGTAATAGTGTGTACTTAAAAAAATAATCCACCATTTCTTCTATTTTTTAAATCAACCATTTCTTCTATTTATTTATTTTTTTTTCTTTTCTGCCTTCTCTAAATTTAAAAACAGATTTCCAGCTTTTGTGGTTAGTTTGTACCAAAAGTGACTCATACTCATCAGACTGGACCTATTAATTTACTTGAATCGTTGTTTTTGAAAGGAAAGAAAAAAGTTTCTTTAAAGTACCATCAAGCATGTTGTTATTTTTTTTTCCCCTCTCTCGTGAAATGAGGAATATTTATTTCCCCTTGTGAACCCTGTGCAAAATAATCAAAAACAAACTGGTGGGGGAGAGGGAAGGGAACCAGATGGTTTGCCAACCTTTGAATCAGGCTTGTACCTCTTAAAAGGAGGGTTTGCAATGGGCTTTGTGCAGCACCTTGCTGTAGGTTCACAAACTTTTCAAGTTACTTTCTGCCATGTAGTTATCCCCCAGGGGGCTACAGTTCAGCTACATGCTGTAAAGTATTCAATGCTTATCTGTCTGATGGGCTCAGGAATAAGGAGTTTGTAATAAAAACACTTGTTACATTACTACTTTCCAGTCATTTAAGGACTTGAAAAGTAGGATCATTTATCCTCTAAACTGTTGTCATCTAAGTGTTTGGAGACCTCCTATTTGCCAAGTGTAGTCCATGGTCTCTGCTCTGAAGTGATTTCTATCTGCTTCTGCTTTCTAGCACGATATAGTGGAGAAACCCTGCTGCCTTGGGCTTGAGCTTGCTAGGGAAAAATGCGCACGACTATTCTGTATTCATTTTGGCACTAGAAGCATGGTCCTTCAGGCCCTATGTCATGGCTCTATCCAACAACATTCATCACTGCTATGGGCCAGTGAATACCACAAAAATGTCCTCAGGGGCTGTGCCTTTTCCTAGGGCAGTGCCTCTTCCCCCAGCAGGAGTTTGGCTCCTGTCTCTCTCCAGTCCTAGAAGTGCTGCTGAGCCTTATCTGGCATCGAGGTGCCACCAGCCAATCCCATAGGCAGCTGCTAATTCCAGTGAAATGCCCTGTACCTCCGTCTTGGCTGCTTAATCCCAGTCTCTACAGGTTTATTCCGTAAACCACAGCTAAGGAGTGTGGCCAGATAAAGCAGCAGCTACTCACACAGCTGTTAGCTGAGCAGAGCCACGGGGAAACCAATAATGTGTTCATGAGGTCTGGACTTTGGGGTTTTGCTGATGGGAAGTGGGTTTTATTTCTGCATCTCGAACACGGCTTCCCTCAACCTTTTCTTCCTCTGCAGGTATCTCCCTTCCCAGAAGTGCAGTCAGCCAATGCGTGGTCCCGGCACCAGCAGTCCCTTGGTCTGCGTCAGTGTTCCTCGTAACAAACTGCAAAGGGTGAGTGTGCATCCTGGATCGGGGCATCCCTGGCTTAAAACCTTCCCAAGTTTCCAGCAGAGTCACAACAAAGCATCCCACTGACTGCAGCAAAAGGATGGGACTGGTTCCCGAGAGACTCAGGGATCCTGCATTGCACCGGGGGTTCTGGGCGGGATTTGAATCAATTGCTGGAATTAGAAAGCTGCCTGGAGTGAGCTGGTTTTGCTCCCACCCCATCCCAATTTTAGATTTTCATCTACAATTTATAATCACAATCTATTTGACAAGCTGGGGTTCTGAATTCAAGCTCTGCTGCCAAAGAGCCATGGATGGAAATAACCAAATAACTGTATGTACCTCCTGCACAACGTAGCGTGCAAACAGAGCACAAACACCCCAAATCTGTTGTTCTGTCTTTGATTTTGATTGACTTAGAAGAACCGTTAAGAATAATAATGAGAAGCTGATGACATCGTGGCCTGAGGAATGCACCACTGCTAGAGAACAGATGGTGCAAAGACATTTTTTTGGAAACTTTTTTTAAATGAACTTGGCACCTGGGCCTTTCTTAGGATAAATGCTCTAACTTGGAGCAACCACAGCACTTGGCGGTTGGGATCCATTGAAAACCAGCGATTTTGCTACAGAGGAATGCATTTCTAGGAAGATACAGAACATTTTGTGGGATTCAGATTTCTTTCTGTGTGATAAGTACTATTTCTTCTTTCAGGCTTGAGAGTGTTCATCTCTTTACCTGCATTATAATTGGAAGGAAATTAACAGGATTCATTTTTGCAGCTCTAAAACTGATGTGATTCCAGGAACCAATTGACCAGGCTTTAAAGTAAATAAGTAATTATGAAGATAAGAGATCATTAGTTTGACTTTCTGTTCTCTATTTTATCAGCTTTTATCTTTTTACTTCACAGTCCTGCAAGCATTTTCAAGAGGAAGTTAAATCAATCTGTAGTAAACTTAATCCTGTCAATACTTCAATGGTTCTTCTTGATCTCAGTTCATTAGCTAATTATAAATAGTCATAGCCTCTTAGATGATTTTAGGCTGAAACAGCCTAAAATTATCTAACAGGCTATTATCATTGTGTTGAACACGACTAGCTATGCTAGACAAAAATATCTCATGAAGAAAAACATCTGACCTTGGTCTGAAGACTTTCAACGATGGAGTCCACCCTATCCTTTGATCGATGACTCCATGTTAAAAAAAATCTATGTTTTATCGCTTATTCAAATTTGTCTGGCATTTACTTCCAGGCATCAAATCTCGGTAGGCAGTTCTCAGCTACATTAAAGACCCGCTCTGTACCTGGTATTTTCTTTTTCCAGTTGTACTTGGACATCCCAGTGAACCAGTGAAGTCACCTCTTAATCTTCTTTGTGATAGATTAATCAGATGGAGCTGCGTAAAACTGTTAGGAGAAGGCTTTTTTTTTTTTTTTTTTTTTTTTTTTTTTACAGCCCTCAAATCATATGGATTTCCATACGACTTGACATCAGTGGAGATTTATGCTAGCTTGGAATTTGGTTGTATATTTCAATTACTGTGAACATTTTGTGGCCTGGGGTGGAACGCGCCTAAGAGCATGACAGATTATTTGTAACATGCGTATCTGTTAAACTTGGTTTAGCAAACAAATAGGGTAAAATTCAGCTGCATGCAGACGATCAGTAGAAAACCGTTGTCCCATTAAACTCCTTTTTCATGGGTTTACGTTCATCTTAAGTGCAATTGAGGCCGTGGGAGCAAAGATAAACATCAGCCCTTGAGACAGATGCTTAACTTACGCACCTCATTTTTCATGGCCTTGGTGGAGTTGTGCTGATTTACCCCAGCTGAAGACCCTGGCCCATGGTAAACAGCACAAGCAGATAAAATGGAGTCTAACCATTAGATACTGAGTCAATATGGCAAGGGGGCATAGTTATACTAGAGCAATGCTGCAGGAACTTCACAGAATCCTAGTTGCTGTTGGGTTTCTGGGGGGGAATCTGGCCTGTTATTTTGGTCATTACCTCTAGTAGGTAGATTTCCCCTTAAAATTGACACAAAGACAGAGGTAAGTGAAATTGAAATGTTCAGCTGATGGAAGTTGCTTGGATCATATCCAAATACTCTCCTTTGGTTAGAGGAGCAATCCAGCAAGGCTCTGAGCAGCCGTGAGACTCAGTGTTGCGTGTCAGTGCCCTTTTGCAGTCTTGGTTTTCCATGCATGTGCATTTTCACACAAATGTTTGGGTACCTATATGTGCATGTAGGCTTCTATAAGTAAATGCAGCACAAATCATACCCATTTATGTTCAAATATGCATTGTAAATGTGTATTAAATACAGGAATGTGTGCAATTATTTTACACAGAGGGCTAGATAAGACTGATGCTATGGATAGGAATGTGCGTGTGTATAAAGCTGATGTCTGGTTGTGTATGCCAGCGCGATCAAGAGAATGTGAATAGAAGTGTGTGTGTTTATGTATGTATATGTGTAACTGGCATGGGGAAAGACCACTGGGAAATAAATGATACGAAACGTCTGTACATTCCAGAGAAATGTTCGGATCTTTGAGGTTAAGGGATATGCTCTAGTCACAAAAATAAACACACTGGTGTAGCATGCCACTGATATGTGGATAAGCTCACTAAGGACGGGTAAAGTTTCAGTTTTCACCTCCATCTGATGGTAAGCAAGCTGCTTCCCTCACTGCCTTTTTTGACAGTTCAAAGTAAAATGACATTTAAAATAAGAGGTTAAAGAGCAAAGGAAAACAGAGTTTTTCTGCTTGAACTGGGGGAAATTTGATAAACTAGTCTTCCAGAGATGCCAATGATTTCAAAAGGCTCCATTTCCTTTTGATAAGGACTCTGCGAGAGTAATTCAGAGTGGGATCTGTTAGCCAGAGCTCTTAGCTGCTAAAATGTCAGATCAGAGGTTCAACTGTTTCCCAAAATGAATGGTTAGATATTGCGATGTATAGCTGATTTTGTCAAGCCCTTTACAAAATCTTTGCACCACCACTTCCATCCTGCCTTTAATATTGCACTTGATTTGCAAGAATCGTCAGATATTGTTAATTATGGAAGACTTGAAGAGGGGCTCATGCTTTAAAGATTAGCCTTCTTTTTCCAACCATTTGTGTTCTAACAGAAAATATTATCTCCTCTTGCAAACATTGCCTTGCTTGTACTCCTAGACCATGATGGCTGCACCAAGAATCTGATGGGAACAACATTAAGCATAGAAACACCCTGTAAAGGGTGGAAGTTCTGACCTTTCCCCATTGACTGCACTGGAGGTTCAGCTCCTAGATAACTGCCCACCATTTATCAAGTTTTTGTTGATACATGTGGTTAATCAGTGGTAGCGAGATGCTATAATCCTGTTGAGATACAAGAAAGTCTGTTTTATCAGTGGCTATAATCACAATAACAGGAACTATAGATTGTTAAATATAATGTTAAATATGTAACAGTGAGCTCAGTGTGAGCAGAGCTTACATTTCCAGATCAGCAGAGGCCAAACTCTGCTCACTGTTCAGCTGCATCATGGCTTAAAAACTGCCTTTCCAGATAGCTTAAAAACCTGTCAGCACCTGGGAAAAGATTATAGTCCTAGTTAAGTCACAAAGCCAAGTTTTAAAGCTGAATCAAAACAATTTGGACTCTTTTCCTTGACCATGAGAAGTTTCAGCCAGGGCTTGGAGGCTATCTCTCTGTTTTGCTTTGGTGGCCATCTGCTTACTTTGAAACCTGGAGATAGAGATCCTCTTTTAGTGTTAACTGCAACTCCATGGTGCTTGGGGAAAGTGGAGGCAGAATTAAGACCCAGTAGAACTCTCTTGTATTAATGGTAGGAATTACTGGGTATATATGAATTCCTCATTGATATTCCAACATTCAGTGAGTGGATGTAGTTGCCAAAAGATGTCTAATACATAAATTTTTGGACATAACTTTTCACACACAGGAGCATTAGGACTGTAGACCTCCCTGCATAGTCAGTCTTATGGGGAATCACAGTGAAAGAACCCTCATTCATTGATCTTCTTTTGGTCTCTAGAAAAAAGAGGATAGCAGTGGGAATTTGAACAGAATACGATTAAGTTAATGTTTTTCTGGTTCAGCTGCCTGAACCTTCTCTGTAGTTTTGGGAAAGGAGGAAAACTGAGCTTTCTCCTGCTGTGAGGCTGACTGAGTGCAAGTCACTGTTTGGTCAGGGTAAAAAGGAGCGGCAGGTTACATTACCATATGCTTTTGTGCACTTTCCCCAGGATCAGAGGGTGATAATGGGGTTGTCAGAACACCAGCGAGTTGCTCTGAGTGACAGATCAGTTATGGTATGGCTGAAAGGCCACAAGAACCGAACCTTTGACTGGGGTGGTCTGTCTCACTCCACTGGGAGGCAGTGGAAGAGCAGATACACCGATCCTTCTCCTGTCAGGAACCTTTGGGTGCTCCAAAAGTGGCTGAAAACCTTAACTAATCTGAATGTGTGTGAAAAGGAGGAGGTTACAGCCAGGGCACCCAAAATACTCTCAGGGAAGCTGTTAACCGAACTCATAGATACAAACCCAACACACTGAAAAAATAAATTAATATCTTTATTCATTCATAATATCTTTAACTAATATGACCTGCCAAATTGTTAATATGACTGTGCTGATTTACATCAGCTGAGAATTTGTATGGACAGTGTGGAGTAAGAGATACTCAGGCTACATAAACATGTACCCTATAGATGTGCATGTGTATGAATAGTATAGGGAGATGGAGGACTGAAATGGGTGTCTAGTTAGACAAAAATGCATAAATTCATCTTTCAGAAACTGACTGTAATGTGACATACTCAGGATTCCTGTTATGAGTGCGGTGCACAGCAAACCCCTGATTTCCATTCAGGTTTCTGCAATCACTGCTATCTTAACTCCAAGCCTTGTTAAATCAACCTCGGCTGAACTGTGGTACAATGTTACAGTGCAGATCCTGCTGCTCCCCAGTGGGAAG